CTATCTTCTACTCAGTGACAATTTTTAAAGAACGAAAATGTGCCGACTACCGGATCCTCCTCTGGTTGTGTTGGGGCCAACGGTACGTTAAGAAGATGCTGAGAAAATTGATGTGCTTTCACTTTTGATGGCTTCTTGTTTGCAGTGATGTTGTCTCTTTTCAAGTTACCTTGTGATTTACCACTCTTCTGGAAGAAACATTTTAATTAGATGCTAAGCCCTGTTTCCTACATTAGTGAAATATTCCATCAGGCCGATCTGTTTTCTCTGCTCCTAGCCACGCAATTGGTTACATTTGGCCTGTCACGTACAACACCGTAGTGCTCGTGAACAAGAAAGTTCACGCCAGTGGACGAAATGTTTTAAAAATTACTAACATATTTGTCTAAGGTGAGTCTTATTGAATCGCCCTTATACACCTCGTTATCTTTTCAATATGAGGAATACTCACCCTTTCCAACGTTGTACCTTTTTTCTTGGTGCATCCTAAAATCCACGTCGCAATGAAAAACTGCAACAGAAACAGAGATACATACTGGCCCTTTTAACTCATAATTTAAGGCTAAATAATTTTAACGCTTTGTTCACCTACCACTAGAGCAACAGTAACAGTGAGGATCATAGAGTAGCTTCGGGTAAATGGCACAGCCGCTTGGAAACGCTGATGGTAATACTAAAAGTAACTTTGATCTGTTTTTCATCACTTATCTCTAGTTTTTAGCTTTCAGGTATTGCATTCTGGATAATGAATACGAGTGAGGAGGTGTGAACGAGATCACTGTAGCGGCAACCCATCTTAAAGAGTAGCGGTAGCATACGTGGTGATTACACTGGTCTTATGCGCTCATTGGAATGAGGTGCCTCAAATTCCAACATATCTGTAAACAACCTTCGACAATAAACAATTTGTACTTGGTTTTTGAGATAGACCGGTTAGTAAACGTTAGTAACTAGTTTAATTGTGTGGTGTAATCAATACCAACGACACGTCATAACAGAACCTCTAAGGATATTTCTACGACCCCCTTACCTGTTTCACGTATATGATGGAAAGATCTTTCAAATGCTTTATTATGTCGTTGCAGTTCTAAAAAGCATTTTGCAAAATAATGCTAACTTACGATTCTTGGCCAAGAAATGAACGAGCAGCATTGTTTGAGATCCCATGGACTGAAAGTGAACAAGTAATGAGAAGACTGGGAAATAGCACGAACGTACTGATTACCAAAATAACACTTCAGAAAAGTCATTTCCATGTTAAACAATATTAACCAGTTTACTGAAGGCGTCAACACCTTCGTCTATGCCTGCAGCAACTTACGGGAATGTGCCATAAATCAGGACCAGCAGACACACGAAAACGAACGGACTCCTTTGCCTAATTCGTATTATCCTATAGTGGTCGTAATTAGTTCCTAAGCAAAGTTCTATTAAGCTAAAACATAAAAAATTGCACCTTTCTCGCCCCCAAAAAAAGAAGAGCAAATTGTTGGCCGGCAACCGAAACAGCTAAACTCTTCCGCGCTTATGCGCCTTTTGAAGTGTTCATCCAATTCGCACACGAGTAAGCTTGAATGATCTTCAAGAGGAGTAAATCAGCAGTACCACGCTGCAGAATCTACAGCTTTCCAGATTGTCTCGCTCTTTTGCGACCTATTACAGATATTTCTGTCGTATGATTAATTAACAGAAATTTCAAACAGTGATGTGATCAATGACCAATGCCTTTTTCGAATGTCAAGTTAACACGAGGTTTACAAAAAATATTAGCTGAGATTTAATGAAAGCCGGTTTTAAGGTAGTAGTATAACAATTTCTGATCCCTATCCTAGAAAATACTTAAAGACACGTAGGCACCCTCTATACAAGTTATGCGTCGTAGTAAAATTTAACACTAGTAAGCCAGAAGTTTGCTTTTTATTCTTTCACTTACTAATAGTGCGCTTTTTTTTGCAAATACAGGCACGAGGGATGCTACTTTTCTTTCTTTACCTCTTATTATTCTCCGTGAACCTTTACAATAACTTGCCACACTATTGGTTACCGTTGACTATCAGATTAAATGAAAGAAGTGAGAAAGACGTTAGAAACTTTTTGATCCACTAAGCGAAAGATAAAACGTGTACAGCATAATTGTCTTCGGAATCATCTGAGTAAACAGTCGAACAGCTCGAGAGAAATGCGGCACCGTCAATCTCATATAATTTCTCAAGGATAGAAAGAAAGACCACGTTTTCAATGAGCATTATGTAAATTCAGGGTTGTATTTGCAATTCAAAGTTTTACGACTTGTCGTCTTCATCCGTCTTCAAACAAATGGATGGAGATTTGGTTGGCTTGGGGTTGAGTATGGAGCCGCGACCCATCATTGCATTTTGCAACGCGCATCTTCTAAACTGTAACATATTTCGAAACAATCGTATATAACATTATTATAGCCTCCATTACCATTATTATTAATTTATCTACTTGTGTCTCGAAGTCGCATTTCGTGTGATCCAAGCACTCGCTATCGAAAAAGGTCTTTCCATTTGGGTGCGGATTCAACTACTAACACTTGACTACTTTCTCTCCTTACTGAATGCCGCCGAATACTAGTGCAGCAGATTTTTCTTAGAATCCTAGAATAGCTACGCAAGGGGGAATCCAGCTTTTCACGACTGAGTATTGTTAGTTATGATCCAAATACGACTTAGGCCTCATGTGTTCAAATTGTTGAGCTCACATGAGGTTGATAAAGCAGTTTGATTGCGATAACATTTTAATGCCTTTGCGAAATGATTTACTCACATGGTGTGGTAGTGAGCGCGTTAACCCCCCGATAGGGTAATAACGCGTTCTATCCCCACCACAGACACCTGCGATCCGGAGTTTTGCAACTATCTCAGTAACGTTGTGATTATGATTATATTTCAAGTAACACGCAGCCTTTAAAAAGGAATAGGTGGTAAATAAAACGCGAGTGGCTTCTAAAACTTTAGAAAATACATTTATTCGCCCATATCAAACGCCAAGGCTAAGAAATAGCTTCAGATTACTCGTAGAGCATAAGACCAACAAACCTTTTATAAGAGACAACGCTTCCTTCAGTTCTGTTCTCGGTTAACCACGATCAACCTTGTAGTGCAAACTGCCTGAGATAAGTTTACTTCGACCTACCCATCCGGATCTCCACGTTATTTCGATTCCTAGGAAGGTCTCCCAGTTATAAAGCCGGTTGAGCGATGTTTGAGGGATTTGTGTAGACGAAAAGTACTTTTTTCGCTCATTATACGACCCCTTCCACTTAAAGATGCGATTTCAAAAGTATTTGTTCTCAACGTAAGGCGTGGGCAGCGCATTGGCGGAGATGCCGCACCATCACCTGAGATTCCTGATTCGATCCCATACCCCAGACCACCAAACAGTCCATTCCTCGGCCTTCGGGTATATTGGTGCCAGTTTTTCTGGAAGGATGAAGCGATAAGGTAATATATCGCAACACTCCTGTAAGTCGTTTCACAGGCAAAATATACAATCATTTGTCTCTGCGATTGCTTACAGACTATTTTTAAGCTCTAAGCTTTCCAGCTCAATCTAAGTAGCGTTATAAAAAAATTTTTCAGCAATCGCTTGTTGTAATATAAAATTGGAAGAAATATATTCGCTTAAAGAAACAATTTGAAGCTGAGTTTTTCTTCTTGTTTAAGCAGTACTGAGGCCCTATTAGAGCGTTGACGAAAAACCACATTGCGCGGTAGTTCTGAGCATTTACGTTGTAGTATTTGCAAGTGTTCTACGGCTTTTAGAACACTGGATCTTTACCTATAGATTTCCCGCGATAAACATGGCCAGTTAGAGGTAATAAACGCTATTCTATTGTGATGATCATTAAGTAAACGGTCTGTTCAAACATTCAAAAAACTTTTAAATTGCGGCTTAAGAAATGTGTAGGAACCCAACCAAGCCCCATCTCCAACTTCAGCTTCTATGAAACCACAGTATAGTAAGCCTGCCACCATTCCGGTTACATAGATAAGGATAAATGTGAAAGTCCTCTAAATTGATCAATCTCTGAGGGATGAGCTATTCATTCGACTTCAACAGGAACCATTGGAAGTTATTGAATGCATATCTGGCCTTTACGACGACTCAACGACGGCTACCGATGTGTCGAATCAGTGCTGCTATCCTCCCAGGTATCTCTGGCACCAATTTGCCGATCCTGGAAGGATGGAGGGCTTGGTGAGCCGGGGGCGCAAGGATCAATCCCATGTCTATTGAAAGGACCTCCTGTAACGAAATGGTTAGCGGCGAAGTGTAGCGGTTCAGATTGATGTAGAATATTAGCCACGCGGGTCTTTTAGTTGTTGTAGTTGATCTACCAGCCTCAAACTTGGGTAATTAAACCTTTAACACATAAATACAATACTAATAACATGATAGTGACGATAGAGAAGTAATAGTAGAGGAATAACACA